TAGTATAATTTTAATTTTCTTATAATATCAATTATATAATATATTATTTATTATTTTATATTACAATATTTATTATTTATATTACAATAACATTCAGTTATTTAAATTAATTTCATTTTAATTTTATATTTTACATCAATTATAAAGAAATTGTTATAATTAATCTTCTTGTAATAAAAATTTTCTATTAAAACATTTATTTATTTATATTAAAAATTTACCTTTTCAACAAATTTTCACACTAGAAACATGAAAATTATCAATGTGTAGATATAGCATTTATAAACAGTTAAAAAAGACGATTCATCATATAGGCATTATTCAATATTTAATCGTTTATCACATCGTTTGTTTTTGTTTTTAAAAATTTTGAAATCGTATTCGAGAAATTAATACAACGAAAAAAACAACGATTGACTTCATACTTTTGTGCTTGAACTTGTAAATAACAATTTTCAGATGAAGTTCTTAAATACCCTAACGGCGGAATCGACATGGAATTTTTGGAGAAAAGAAAAGAAGCAAATATAAAATGTTTGCTTCGAACATTTATTACTTTCCAAGATATTAATAAAAAACTGTTGAATTGTGTATATACAGACATTATTAATGTAACAATCTTCGCTGTAAAAGCGTTATTAGTGACATCGTCAGATAATCATTAGCCAATATTACAATAGTGATACCGACCTCAAAATACACACACATACACACAAACACACGGTATCCTATGTAAAATCATTTTTTTCTGGCTTTGACATTCGTATTCCACGGATTCCAATAGGATAAAGTATAGTCGAAAATTTAAACGATAAATTTTATTATTTATTTAAACATAAGCATTGTGCTCAGAGTAGTAGCAGGTATAAAGTATGTATGAATTTATTGAATAATATTTTGAGTAACTGGCGACAAGGGTATCTACAGCTCAATTTTCTGTAATTTACAAGAATATCAGTTAAAGTGACCTTCATCAGACTGGTCTTTTAAAGCTTTAAATTATTTTCAAGATTTCAAGTTAAATTATATAAAATAATCTTTAAGTAAAACAGTTTTCACAATAGGAATACAGTTTCTTTTTTTTTAATTTAAAAAAACGTCCAATACTGATAATATAAGAAAATTATTCCTTCAAATGAAACTGAATTTTTTTCTGATCAACACAACAGTCAGTATAAGAAAACAAATGCACACGATTGAGACAGGAGCGTATTTGCAACTTCTGAACACTGTTATACTATTCGAATGGAATTCTCAGAATGAATATAACTGTCAGCAAGTATCTTGTTAATCTTATTTTTTAATTACAGATTTATTATAAATATCAATGTAAATAATATAATAAGTAAAAAATATCTATCATTCATCGTCATATCTATTCTGATAAAAATAATTTAACTCTACTAAAATCTATTTTTAATAAATAAAACTTTTTTTAAATAAGTTTGTTAGTAAAGACATTTTTTTTTATTTAGGAAAGAGAGAAATATAAAAAATAAAATAATTATATAACATATATTAATATTATATAATTATAAAAAGATACATATGTTCTTTTTTAAAATATTTATTATTTTTCAGAACATTATTACATGAAATTTTGGCGGAATAAGAATCAATTTTATTAATACGACAATAGAAAAATGAAATTTATTAGAAACATGATACAAAAAATATTATGACATTATTTAGTAATTTTTCATATTAATTTTTATAACAATACAATATATTTAATAAAATTTAATAAAATTTGATGTTTCAATTCCGTCGTTTCGACAGTCTAATAGAGATTGTCAGCTGTCCGGTACACGGAACGTTGTCACTATAAAACAGTGTACTGCGTTAGGCGCTATATAGTCTTGTAGGAATCGTCGACATCAAGTTCGACATCTGTTCACGAATCTTGTGTAAGCGTGCGCGTGCGTGTATTTGTATGAGCCATACGTGCAAGAAAGAAAAGAAACACAGATAAAGAGGCAATAAAAATAAAGAAAGAAAAGAATATAGAAAGAAATCAAGAAAGAAGTGGATAAAGCGAGCTGTCCGTGATTTATGCAAAATCTCGTGCATAGCGTGGATGTATTGACACAAGGATTAAAATACAGTATATCAGGACTAATGAACCTCGCAAATCAAAGTAGTGATCCTCAAAGTCGTGTTTTCTTTGTTAACTTTAATCAAGATTGCACGTAAGTGTTGCATTCTCAGCTGTAAAGCGAGGACGTCGTCCTTTGTTCCCTAACCTTATTTTTATTCGCGATGATCTTCCGTAAAAATCTTCGTAAAAATCCTTTTGTTTCGAAAAGGGCATTAAATATATATTTTATGCACTAATTCGTCGTTTCATCAAAACGCAAAACAAACTTGTGTTTTGTGTTTATTAGCTGATGCATATGTAGCTACAGTTCTTGTAGTATTTCCATTCGTCTGCGTTGCTCATTTCCTTTTACCTATTAATTGCGTATCACTCTTGTAGCAGTCGTCCAGATTGATTATCTCGTATATCAGCAAACAACACTATGCTTTTAGTTGTATCATTATTTTAGCTCTCTGCTGCTTTTAATTTGTTATTGTTTCACGCTATTTCAAAAAGGAATTATTTCCTTTTTAATAATTATAATAACTATTACCATATATATTTCTTTAGTATAATCTGAAAACGTTAGTTCTCCAAATTTCTTTATCTTGTTAATTATAATTTTCATTTCAGATCTTTGGCAGTGGGATCAAAGGCAGGCTATAAACTTTTTTCTTTAAACTCTGTTGACCATCTTGAAAAAATATATGAAAATGGTAACAAAAACATTTATACATTCACAGATAAATATTGAAATTTTTTGTGTTAGCTATTATACTTAAGGTTTTATTTATGTTGAAAAACTCTGAATTTAGAAATTATACTTTCCTAATATTTTATGCAATGTTTAATATAATTAATATAAATTAATAATAATTAACAAAAATTAATATATATGTTTAATATATTAATATAAGTTTAATATAATTAATATAAATCATAGATACGGAAGACATATATATTGTTGAACGACTATTCAGCAGCAGTCTTGTGGCAGTAGTTAGTTTAAGATCACCTCGCAAACTCAAAGTTTGTCACTTCAGAAAAGGCACCGAAATTTGCCATTATAGTTATTCTAATACTATTTTGGCTGTAAAATTAAATAGAGCAGTAAGTTTCTTTATTCTACAATTATAAATAATAATACGACAATAGAAACTAGTTTATTTGAAGTTAAATATTTTGTAGATTTTTATAAAAATCATCTTTTGACATATGTTCTTAACATATTCATTTAATATTTAAATATATGCATTCTTGAAAGATTTTAATGAAACTTTTCAAAATGAACACTCGTTATGCATATTTTAATGAATTAGAAGACAAATTAAGCCTTCTTCTACATGCAACCATATAATGCATTTAGTTGGGATAGAATCTTTTAAAAATATTATCAGAATAACATTCATATTTGCCATCATATTTTATCAAATCAGTTTTTATAAACAGAATTAAATACAGAAATTTACTTTAAATACGTAATTATTAAAATATTATATAAAATGTCTATAATTACATAGTATATAAAGTTGCAAATATAAATTATTTAATATTTTTCTTTTTATACGTATAAACAATTATATATTATACATTATACAATTTATATATTATATATTATACAATTTATATAACAATATTATATATTTATATTAAACAATTTTTATCAACATATATTGATGAATTAAATGATATGAAGAATTTTTAGAACAGGAATAAAAATTTTAATAAATACTATAAAGATATTCATTTTGTATATGTTGCAAAAGTGTAAATTAGACGTATAGAATCTTTATACAAACAAGTTTCTATTTTACGATTTCATATTTTATTGAATATATAAAAATATAAAATACAAAATATAAAATACAAATTTGCAGAGATTAGTAGTATGTCTAGAAGAATCATTATATATTCACAACATAAGAGACATGAAAGTCCTACATACAATTCGAGATACCCCGCCAAATTTATCTGGTTTATGTACATTGTCAATAAATAGCGACAACTGTTATTTGGCTTATCCAGGCTCAAATACAATTGGCGAAGTGCAAATATTTGATGCAATTAATCTCGTAAGTATTCTAAAAATCTTTAATATATAGATCTTTAAAATCTTTAAAATAAGGATCACATTTAAACGTTCTTTTTTTCTTTTTAGCAAGCCAAAACTATGATACCAGCACATGACAGTCCTTTAGCTGCTTTGGCATTTAGCCCCAATGGTACTAAAGTGGCTACTGCGTCAGAAAAAGGAACGGTTATCCGAGTTTTCAATGTAAGTTCAGATATTTATATAGCTTTATTTGTTCTTTTCTAAATTTATATACATTGCTGAAGATTCTTTACATATTCGAAGGTAAATGATGGTACGAAACTGTTCGAATTTCGTCGTGGAGTGAAACGATGTGTATCGATAAGCAGTCTTGCATTTAGTATTGACTGCATGTTTCTATGTTGCTCAAGCAATACAGAAACTGTACACATATTTAAATTAGAAGAGCCGAAAGAAGCGTATGTAATTTGTCATTATTTAGCTCAATGATACTATTGTCATACTTAAATTTTGTTTTATTATTATAGATTGCGACAAACCACAGAAGAGACACAAAGTTGGATGGGATATTTAACGAAGGCTGTATCTGCGTCAGCCAATTATCTACCCTCGCAGGTCACTGATGTTTTTACTCAAGGACGTGCCTTTGCCAGTGTCCACTTACCTTTTCAAGGGCTGAAAAATGTTTGTGCCATCACAGTGTAAGTTTAATTAATATGATATTTAATATACACGTATAATTTTTCTAAAATTTACTTTATTACACAGTATACACAAAGTACTTAGGTTGCTTGTAGCCAGTGCTGAGGGTTATTTATATGTTTATAACTTGGACTCGACCGAAGGTGGAGATTGTACCTTATTAAAACAGCATAGGTTTGTATTCTTACAGTACAATATTTTTAATTTAATTCATATTTCATCAATAATTTTAATATTTAATTATTATCTTTATTATATATAAAACACTCTCTGTTATATTGCTTGCATTCTTTATGTCTGAATTAAATGTATGCATGTTATTTTTTTAAATCTATACTTAAAAATACGAACAAATTTTTTATTGAAAGTTTAATTTTGTGAATTCTGATTTCTTATAGAGGTTTGATCATATGGATTTAATATCCATTCATTGTCTAGAAATAATATAAAAACTTCCTTTTTAATTTATATTATAATATTAATAAATTATGTTTTACAAAATTTTATCTTTCATCTACCTATATCTATCTTTCTATCTATAGATTTATATATCTATTTAATATCTTTTCATTATAATATTACACAAAAATTTTTATATTAATAATTTAATATGATTAATATATATTATCTGATATATTTTTTACATTTTAAAATTGATTTATTATTAAGAATAAGCTTTTTGTTTATTAAATTACTACAAAAATATTAAATATTTTTAAAATTTGAATAAATCATGTTAGTAAAATAAATATCAATGTTACAAGTAAGAAATATTATTAATAAAAATATTTAATGAATTATTATTCAAATATATACTACATGCATTTGATACAGTGTCATCTATTTTATAATTCACAAATCATTTAATCACTTAATATCTCAGTGTTTTTATTTGGGTTTTGATATGTTCAGTTGGTAATAATATATTCAGAATTAACTATTTAATCTTTCTCATTATTGTCTCATCATTTATCTCTTTGTATATTTTGCTATACGAAGATTAATTATTCTGTTTTCAATTAATTTCTTTGTATCTGATTTCAATTTTTCAACAGCATCTCTTTCAAGATATTTGTTCTCTTGCATGCACACTCCAGTAGACTTTTTTTATACTTTCATCTCCAGTTGTACTCTATTTTAATAAAATATATACTTATATAATTTTTAAAATAATTTTATGCAATAAAAATAATATATGTAAATATAATTCTTAAAATAATATATAATTCTTCTGTAAATTGATGAAAAATAAATTTCTATAATTTAGAAAAAATGAATTAAAATAACTTGAATCATCTCTTAAAGTATTTAATTATAAGTAATGATATATATAAAATATAATAAATTACATTTGTAGATTAGACGGAAAACAAGATGACGTGGACTGTGCTAGTGTATCTACAGCAGGATCGGGATCTGGAGAATCTGGAACAAGAATAGTACAAAATACAGGTATGATGATATCATAAATATTTTAATATATTAAAAGTAATATAGGTTTTATAGTCGAGCGAGTTGACGATAAAGATATATCTTTCATATGAAACTGACATTAACATGCTTATATTAATATAAAACTTTGATCTATATTAGAAATCTTAAAATGAAATATTATGTGAAAATTTGTTTTAAAATATTTACAGATTAAATTTGATCATTGTCTTCTTTGTTTTTAAGAGTTACTAACATACGTAGAAATACTGTAAATATAATATTTACATGCACAAACTATTAATTGTACATAAGTCGATTTTATCTATATATTATATTATATTATATTATATAAAGAAATCATCTGTTTGCAGAAATAAGCATTTTATATCATACAACATAAAAGATAAAAATAGTTTAATTATATATAAAAAATAAATTTAATATTTTACTTCTAATTTTACAAATGAAATACCACACTGAATATGATACATTACAATTTAATTTATTAATCTATTTTTATAAATATTAAAATCAATTAATTATGTAGTATAAGTCACAACCAACAGCAAGTGACTATTCAGCAATAACTATTCAACAGATATTCACAGTGTATATTTGTATATGATTGTAAATATTTTATTAAAACTATTTTTATATCGTAGGTACAAATTAAAAAATTTTTTTAAATTAGATACAAGAAATTAGTAATAAAATTACTCATAAACATATTATTTCATATTATGTAAACTATATAACTGAGTATGAAAACTAATATTATTAATATATTACAAGAAAATAATTTTTTATTGTTTCAGATTTTTCAATAATAAGTTAAATGAATAAGACTCAGTTTTACAGCATATTTCGAATACTATGTTTTTAAATCTTTAAAAATATAATACTTTGGATAGAAAGAGTTTGTATATATGTATATACATTTTCAAATTTATTTAGTATTATTTAGTATTATTAATTGTAAGTTTTAAATAAATTTCTAATTTTTGCTAAATATTTTCATTAAATTTTTTTTTATAAATTTATAATAAAACTAAATATTGATTCTTAAGGAATACTAAACAAGATATTAAATATTAATAATTTTTCATTCTTTACATTAATTCAAAATATATTGTAATTCACATAAATATGAATTACGTTGTATTTATATAATTGGAAGTAACTTTTGTGTATTTAATTAATAGTTTTATTTAAGGATATGCAGATGTTTAAAATTAAGATATTACTAAAGATATTACTAATTCTTAAGTTATAATGAAACCGATATCTCAAATATGCAACGCATATATATGTATGAAATTATATCATTGTATACACATATATAATTGTATAACTATTTATTTCAAAATTTTAGATTCTTTGCTATCAAAGTAAATGCGTTCTTTTAGTTCTCTATTCATAATATTCAAATATTAAATTTTAAATTTTGCTATTAATAAAATTAATTAAAATTATAGTGAGTTTAAATAATCATAATTAGTATATACAAAAAAACTAAATTTTTAAAAAAATACCAAAATATATACAAAATTGTTCAACTCTTATCTGTTCCTCGTTTTTCCAACTTCATTTGCCCCTTGATATTAAATTGGTGCAGTAGTAAAAAATTAATATTAAAAAAAAAATACATTTGTAATTCTTTTATAAACAGTGACTAAACTTTTATTCAATTGTGTATAACCTACTCAGGTATTATAAATGTTCAATCTTATTTTGTAGTCTTGCACATTTTGTAAAAAAATGTATCCAATCGACACAAGGAACAAATGTCTCACAAATCATAATACAACAATCACAAATAATTAATACATTGTTTACATTGTTCAATGTAAAACTGAGTTTTTTAGTTCATATTATTGATTATGTATATATTGTTATAGTTATGTATGTCGTTGTTATATATATAACATAACGTATATATTATATATATAACACGTTATTGTTATATATATAAAGAAAGTTTGAAACATTAAAAAATATAATTTTAATATAAAAATATAATTGAAGTTTTTAATCTAATTCATATTTAAAATTTGTTTGCTGTTATTAATAGCACCAAATTTTTGAAATTTGTCAGACAAAAATTTTTTTTTTTTTTCATTTTAAATTTCATTGTAATATTTAAAAAATGTTATATATTGAATTTGGCACTATTTGGCTGTATTTATTTGATCTATTTTTTTTTGTCAATTATATATAGCATTTTTTACATTTCTTTGCAAAATATCAAAATTTAATTTGTTCTTTGTTTTTTTTATAGGTCATATACTTAAGCAAAATATTAGAAAAAATATTGATAAAATACATATTGAATATTAATTACAGTATTATTCATATTAAGATATATTTATACATTTTCAATATTTTAAAAATATTATTGTCTAATTACATTATAGGTCTCATCAAATGTCTTGCAATATTAGTAACAACTAATATATTTACATATAAATTGTGAAATTTCAAAATATCAAAATATTTCATAATATAATTTCAAAATATCTTTTGCAATATTAGTAACAACTAATATACTTACATATGAGTTGTGAAATTGAGTGAAAAATCTCACATTGTAACTACTTAATCATGTTTCGTTTTATTATTATTAATATTGCACATTTTACCTCATAAAATGGAAAATAATCTCAAACTTTGTTATTACTTAATTTCTTACTGTATATAATTTAATTGGTTCTGGGACATTGTTTTATGTAATTTGAATTTCGATGCATGTTAAGAAATTGAAAAATATATCTATTGAATAAGTAATTATAATTTTATAAATAAACAATGTGTCCTGATTCTTTTTAAATTAGATATAAAACTTATACAATGTTTTTATTGAAAATGATATTTCTAATTGCATAATAAAATAAAATTATTTTTGCGATATTTGAAATTTAATATCATTGCGATATATGAAATTAAATAAATACTACTTATCCTCCTGCGCTGATACTATTTATTATTTTTATTATTCACTTTATAATTTCTCTTTCCTTGCTTCTAACCCCTCTAAAATAAATAAGCAACTTCTTTAGGGGCTAAAGGGGGGCCCCAACAATCGACCTTACTTGATGTAATTTTTTTCTTTTTATTATCCACTGAAGCCTGCATAAATAGCTACGCGGGTGTGTTGCGCGGTCGGTCGCCAGACTCCATGTCAGGTACTGGTATATTCTCTATTCTGTCCCTTGCTTTTTTCACTCTCATTCTTCATTTGTATTCCATTTAAAACTTCTATCGTAGTTTTTCTGCTCTAACTAATTTTCTACTCTATTCTGAATGTCTTTTTTAATATATGCACTCTAGAAAAAAGAATGAGAGTAACATTGGATAATAATTTTTACATGGTTTGGATACTAAAGGCTATATTTACTAAAATTTAATAATTACAGTTTAAATATATTTATATTAAACTTATCAAACACAATGTTAGATTATTAAAGAGCAACTATTGAAATAATTAATATGCACTTAGGTATATATATGGAATACTAAATTTTATTTTTGTTTAACCAAAATAAAAGTAAGTCTGCACATTCTATTTCATATTTATTATTTTAAGTTAATTTAATAAAGAATTTTTCTTAATTATTACTTCGAATCACAAAAATGTAATTAATTTATAGGCAATTATTTTGTAAGAAAATAAAAAAAAACACAAAAATATTTTAATAATACAAATATATGTTATTCCTAAGCTATGTATTTTTATAAATTAAATTTTATTTTATTAAATATAAAGTTACTAACCAAATTCCTGATTATATTTTAATGATAATATTAGATATAAGATAATATAGGTAGGTAAAATATTAATACTTTTGAAAGACAGATAGATTTCTTCGATTTATTGTAAAAGATATTTTATACATTAATGTTAATGAATGTTTTAATTATTAACAATCTTTAACAAATGTTCCAGCTACATTGTCAAAGAAAATAAAAACAATGATAATTGAAATATTTTTTCGTTATATTTAATTAATAAATATTAAAGATTTAAAGATTTTTTTAATGAAATTTGATATGAAAAATTGTATCATCGAATTTCAATTTCATACATCTTTATCGTTACATCCGCTTAAAATGATTATTAATTTTAATAATTATAACTGAAATAAATAAATGGATTTATAGAGTCAGAGAAGTATCATGAAATGATAGCAGCAACTGAGAGTCCACCAGGCTTTTCGGGTTCCTTCCGTTTGAAAGATGATGCTGAATTTCCACCTGTTACGCAAAGGACGGATTGAGTGTAATATTAATTCAATTCAGGCATATCAAAATTTACGGAAGACGAATTGTATCTAACAGTGATTGAAATTAGAACATTGACTACAGATCAAACTATGATTGCGGATTCAGAAAAGCAACAAATTCTTTTTTAATGAAAATATAAAGAAAAAGTGATGAATTTGTATAAGTTATATAAATATTAAAGCTATCATACCTAGATGTTTATATCATATCGGAAGTTAAATGATACTTTTAGTTTCAGTTTTTCAAGTCAGTATTTTATATTAGAATCTTATTATCATCAAAAAGCATGCAGTTGGTTTAAGAGGTTTAGTAATTTAACGATTATACATTGAAAAAATTCAAGCTAAAATACAGTTGAAAATATTTAACAAAAATGTTTAATATAATCTTTTGTGAAACAATATGTAGACATTTATGTATTTTTACTGTGAATTATTAAAACAATGGTTGTAACAAAATATTACATACATTAGACATTACTGAAAAATGTTTTTTTTTAGTACATAATATTCTTATTGAATGTTTTGTACTTTGTATTAAATTACTGTATTTTATAATTATATATTGTCATCTTCTGTGTTCAGTGACTTCTTATTCTTTTAAGAAATAATGTAAAAAAATCATAAATTTACATTTTGAGAAAAGTACAATACCTACATATTTTTAAAAAATTATTTCATTAATATTTTCAAAAAATTACATATTCTAAAATACTTTTGATAACATATTTCATTTTTTCTCTATATTTACAAAATAGTTCGTATAATATGAATGTAAAAAAGATTTATATAAATAGTTATACAAAACAAAAGGAATTTCTTTATATTTGAATTTTTATTTAATTTAAAATTATTTTGAACATAAAATGAATACAACCCGTATCTTTTAAAAAATAATGTACAGTAGAGCCTTCCACATCTGAATCATTATCCAAATACTCTAATCCTATCTGAACTATTTGAATAAAATATTTGCTAACAATAGATGTTTTTTCTTGTATTAAACCATATGTTAACCATATACATTATTATATGTGTTTACGTGTTTTTTATAATTGCTAAGAAAAAATTTACTAAAATATGAAATACATGATTTTATTAAAACAACAATATGAAACATATATTATGTTTTTAATTTTGTGATAAATCAACATTTCATCTGTGAATGGTAAAAATATCAGATATCATTTTTCCACAAATTGAAACAAGAAATGATGAAATATTCGAGATATTTAGAAAATATGGTATAAAACACAGAAAAAACTTAAATATTTATGTTGAAGTTAAAAAATTCAATAACTAAAAAAATATTCTCAAATATCGAAATAAATCGACAAGTTTCTTTATCTCTATTTGAATGTATAGAATTTAATATTTCTGTCTCTTTATTAGTTCAGGTATGGAAGACTCTACTGTAGTTACTATTTATTAAACCAAGACAGTGGTATCTTTTAATTATATTTTATTCAATGTATATTGTAATACATAGTATGTTTTCAATATTCTGTTCATCAAGAAATTAAATTTTTCATTTTTTTTTTTTGAAGTAAAATGTTTAATTGAAAATATAATATTTATCAGTTCATTGAAATATTAATTATACAATTTTTTATATATCAATCTTTAAATTTATTATATCCTTATTTGTAGTATGTGTAATGAGAAATTATAGCATTTCTGAAAATATATTGTAAATTTAAGTGATTTTTTTATATTCTGTTAATTTCATAATTTTTTTTGTTATATTTTCATTTTTATTTATATGTACACACATTTTGCTTACTATTTGCCTTTATTTTTGAATACTAAAAAAGAAATAAAACAAAGCAAAATTCAAAATATTAAATTTACATATTTATAATTAAAAATTTGTATTTAAAAATCTCATGTTGTCTGTAATACTTACTATTTTAATTATTTTTAATTAATTATTTGTTTAAAAAATTCAATTTAAAATATAAAATTATACTGTTTCTGATCTGTAACTTTTAAAATACGTATATAGTAAAATACTATTCTTATTTTATTGTATATATTTTAATCTAAGGATACAGACAACATATGTTAATTAAAACAATATCATTTTAAACAATATAACATGTAATTATCAAATATGCGAATATTGTAGACCCATGTCTTTCGGTGCTTTTGTATGAACGTAATGTCCTGTTTAGTAAATAATTTTACTTTTATAAAAATAAGTAATGTTAAAAACAAGTGTACATACGCATATATAATAAATTTTTAAGTACTGACATTGCATATAAAACTTCTAATGAATATGTACAATTTTATGGTGCATTAAAGAAATTTAATTTTCAGTTATGAAAAACTCAATTTTTCTAAATTTTTTACATTATAAAACAATTATATTATTGAATATAATGACAAATTTTTATACAATAAACTACTATTCTATTATAATATTCTTTATTCATTTTACATAATGTATTTAACCTAACTTTCATGTTTTATAAAAATGTAAGTTATGATTCCATTAGAAATATTAAGTGAGGATAGAAACTTTCACAATAATAATATGTAGATGTACTTTTAAAGAATGAAAACAAAAAATGTTAAATCAAATAAAAAAAATATGTAAAGTATGAATCAATCTAAGGTTACAAACATTTAATAAATGTAAGAGATAATAATATATTACTTAAAAAATTGTTTAATTCCACTTAGTTTTTGTTCTTTTCAATGCCTATATAAATATTTTAATAAATATTCATAAGAAATGTATACCAAAAAATTTCAATTACTTATAGTTATAAATATAGTATTTTGTAACTTGTATTAAGTTTGTAATAGCTGCATAAATAAATAACGAATAATTTTAGTTATCAATAGTTTGATAATTATATATGTAAAAATTAATATACTTGCGAATAAAATGAAGTATAGAAGAAAGTTTTAATCGTTTAATAAAAAACCCTAACTTTTTGTGAAGTTATGAAAAGTACGATAAAAATAAATAATTGTAACACTTTATTCTAAAGTGAAAGGTTTTAAGAGATTCTTTGGTAATTTGTAAATAAATTTACTACTATAAGCAGGCTGTAAATTCACCAATACACATCACCAGTTCCAACAATTTCACTGACATTGCATAAACTCTCACATTATTGTAATTTCAGAGTGTGAACAATGAAATGTAGTTAGATACAGTGACAACGTAGCAAAAGAGTCTATCTCTAAGTTGAAAAAATTTATAACACTATTACAGAATTAGAATTACATTTTTATGTGAATAACTCAAATATAAAATTACATAGAAAAACTTATGAATAACGAAAAATTCGTATATTCTTATGCAAAGTACATACAAAATAACGTATTATATTAGGGCAGTTTATGCACATGTAAAGTAATAATCAGGAAACTATATTTCATTTTATCTATACATATAAAATGAAATTAAAGTTATATAATTTTAGTCATATAATATAACTTTTGCAATTTTATATTCTTCTTCGTTCAATTTTAATATTAAAAAATGTCCTTTTATTACATTTATATCATTAGATTAATTAAAATTTTACCCTAATTACATACGTAAAATTGCATATACTTACACAGAATAATAGGTATTAGATTTATATATTTTTGTATTATCAATTTCTTAGAATTACTTTTTTGTAAAATTTGTGTTTATAAACACAAAGTATTTTCTGCAGTATAGACAGGCCCTTTTGTCGCATGCTCACTGTAATGAGGTACACAGACATGAAGACTTAGCTATAAAGATCATCATCTCCATCATCTTGAAAGGTTTGATCACCTTGTGTTGTATCTTGAGTACCGCTTGCTCCGCTTTGCGGAAATCTGTAAAAATTTAAAACTTTAGAATGAATACAAGCTATTATATTGAACAGAATATTTAACGACAGAGTAAGTTTTATCATTTATTAGATTTCACAATTTATACAAAAAATTAGATAATTTACATTTAAAAAAAATATCGGAACAATTTATATACCTGAAATTAGTTCCAAATCCACGAGACTGTTGAAGCGTCTGTGCAAACATTTCATATTTTCTAATATCGTTATCAGATACAGAACGTCGTGCAAATCTCATTGCTTCTTCGAAATGAGCTCTAGTTATTTCTGGCACAGGATCGTCTTCATCCATCTGTAACATCATATATAAAATTAATAATAAGAAATATTAAACTAATTAGTATCTATAATAAAATATATAAAACACATATATATTGAATGGAATAAAATTTCATTTTGCAAATTAAGTATTATATATAGTTATTATTTATATATTTAGTTAAATTTGGGACATTTTTTACATAATTTTTTTATCCCAAAATAAATAAATAAAACATATATTAGAAATAGACACTTACATCCATAGATGCAGATGGATTACTAGCTCGTTCTTTTTCTCTTCGAATTTCAGTTTCAATACTTTGTCTAATAGCAAGTTTACATGCACGTTGACAAATTTCTGTTATATCAGCACCCGAGAAACCATGTGTTACTTTAGCAATGTAACTCAAATCTACGTCCTGTGATATAAATATTAACAATAGAATTAAATGATTAAGATTAAAACAAAATTAGAGATGCGAATGTATTTTTTCTACCTTCGCTACAGGGGATTTTCGAAGGTTAGCTCTGAAAATTGCTTCTCGAGATTTTTCATCTGGTAATGGTATATAAATCAACTGATCTAATCTACCAGGTCGTAGAATAGCGGGATCAATAATATCAGGACGATTAGTAGCTCCTATGATAAATACATTTTTCTTTGCACCCATACCATCCATTTCTGTTAAAATTTGATTTATCACGCGGTCTGCTGCTCCACCAGCATCGCCTAGTGTACCACCACGAGATTTGGCAATAGAATCGAGTTCATCAAAGAATAATACACAAGGAGCTGCGGCTCTTGCCTATAAATACAATAACAATAAATGAAACAATTATATTTTATAGTTAAATTTAAGCAACTTACTTTATCAAAAACATCTCTGACATTCGCTTCAGATTCACCAAACCACATAGTTAACAACTCTGGACCCTTTACAGAAATAAAATTTGCTTGGCATTCATTAGCTATTGCTTTAGCCAGTAATGTTTTACCACATCCAGGAGGTCCATAGAATAATACACCTCTGGATGGTTGCATACCAAATTTTAAGAATTTATCTGGATGCTCAACTGGATACTAGATGACAAGAGAAACATAATTACTTTAATCTTATAGCTATAATATTTATTTAATATTTAATTAACATTTTACTTACCTGTACCAATTCCTGTAATTCCAGTTTAACATTATGTAAACCTCCAATATCATCCCATGTAACAGTTGGAACTTCGACAATAGTTTCTCGCAAAGCACTTGGACTACTTTTAGTCATAGCATACTAAATTAAAAATATAATATTACTCATACAAGATAATACATTTATGAATTTAATTTAATCTTTTCGACACGATAATGTTTACAGGTATTTACAATTTTGTATAGAAATTTTTCAATTATTATATCACTACAATAATGCTATTAATTTCAGATTAATTTTCGAGAACTATTTTTGAAGATTTTTAAACCTAAAAAATTGAAGATAAAATTATCTTCTCATTTCAATGATCAGTTTAGTCCTAGTAACTAGTATATCAATAAATTTATATGAATATTAATTTATTATTGTAATGAATATTAATTTATTATTGTAATCTAAAAATTAATCTATCATCTACTGACTCCGAAAAATTAAAGAAATAATTTATACATGATCCTTTTTAAATAGAATTGCACAAAAAAAATTATCATATAAAAAATGTTAAAATATGTAAACATACATCGCATATCAATTAAGTTAAAATTTAATTTTATTACATATTAGATAATTACCTTGAAGTTATCCATTGTAACAGCAAGAGAAGATAAAACTTCAGCATCTATGTGTTCATCTTCCAAATCAATAAGATCCATTTTTTCACGAATTTGTTGTAATGCTGCTTCAGAACATAATGAAGCTAAATCAGCTCCAACATGCCCATGTGTTTCCGCTGCAATCTAAACGATTGCATTAATTCAATAAATACCATTAAAATCAATAATTTAATAACATCAAACTTAATTATATAAACCTCTTCTAATTCAACATCGTCTGCAAGTTTCATATTTTTCGTGTGAATACGTAAAATTTCTAAACGACCAGTAGCATCAGGTATTCCAATATCAATTTCTTTATCAAAACGACCAAAGCGACGTAATGCAGAATCGATGCTATTAGGTCGATTGGTAGCAGCCATTACAATAACATGAGAGCTTTGTTTCATACCATCCATTAAAGTTAACAGCTGAGACACTATACGTCTTTCTACCTCTCCATGAGTCTAAATCGAAAATAATATATCAATCTTAGAATCAATTTATAAGAATATAAAATAAAATGATTAATAGAAACCTTTTCTCTTTTAGGAGCAATAGCATCAAGTTCATCAATGAAAATTATAGCTGGTGAATTTTTTTCAGCTTCTTCAAATGCTTTTCTTAAATTACTTTCTGATTCTCCCGCAAGTTTACTCATAATTTCAGGACCTTTTAATATAACAGATTGAGTAACATTTTAAAATAAAATAAAGTATTATTTGAAAAGTGTTAGTTAAAAATTAACGTACCATTGATAAGAAAGAAAAATGCTCCTGTTTCATTTGCAACAGCACGAGCGATAAGAGTTTTTCCTGTGCCTGGTGGGCCATATAAAAGAATACCACGAGGTGGTTTAACTCCAATAACTTTAAATAAAGATGGATGTCTTAAAGGTAACTCTACCATTTCTTTAATTTGAGCCAACTGTTTACGAACACCACCAATATCATCGTAACCTACAGCATTTAATGCCTCTTCTTCCTCCTATAATAATTTTATATATTTATATAACAATATAAATAAATAAATAATGAATTGAAAAATTACACCTGACTAACCTCTCTCTTAATAGCATCACCTTCACAATGAATAATTGTATCAGGAGCTACAATACAAAATGGTCCAGGATCTGTTTCTACTACTTTAAATTCTACAACACGCATACCACCACGTACAATAAAGTTATCATCTTTATGAACAGGACGATAAGCTTCCAGGAAATATGGTTTTAAATATACTTCAAATAAGTTCCTACAATAAAAAAATAAATTATATTTTATAAATAAACTTTATATTTACCTAAAAAGCAATAATAATTAATTAAAATATGTTATTAATTATTGGTAATGTTAAATTACCAATAATTAATAACATAAATAATAACAGATTATATTTCTATTTGTAAAAAAGTCTAAAATATAGATATATTTTCTAATTCCTTAAAATAAATGTTGAAATATATATAATCTTTACACTACAAAATAATTCATATTGATATTTATATTACACGAAAATAATTTATATTAACATTTATATGTTTATGTAATTAAATTAATCTTATGGTAATGCACCCATCTTCATTATATATTTTAACTTATGAATTTAAAATGAAAATAAAATGATACATATTTTATAACATATCTAATAAAAAAATGTTAAATACAAAGTATGAATTGGCAGATAGACAACAATGATTACTTTGTTACAAATATGGATCACTTTGTTACAAATATCATTTACATATTGTATATTATAAAACTTTTTACAAAAAAAGGAAACTAAATATAAATATGTTAAATATCTCTGTTAAATATACTGTTAAATATCTCTTACAATACATATATATATTCAATACTCTTTACTTTTATTATAATATTGAATTTTAAATTATTTTAATAATTAATTTTTCAAATTGGAGAAAAATAAAAAGTAAAAATGACTAATTATTTTGCCCATATATACACTTCAGTTTGTCAAATTTATAACATTAATTATTTTTACAATTAACATTTAATATCAAAAAATAATAGAATACATGTATGTATGTTTACTTTTATTTCAAACTATTGACTTCATTATTGCTTTATAGATAATTATTTTATGAATCTTAAATACTAGTTAAAAAGATATGTATGTATGTATGTATGTAATACATGTTGAAAACATATTATATATTTATAAAATACTAATGAGTCAATAAAAAAATAATATAGGAAATCAAAATTCATTCAATAAAATTAATGTGATATTTACAAATATTTGATTAGTATTTGAAATTTAAATTACAAATATAAAAAAATTCTAATAAATAATCACTTTAGTTAATATAAAAAAACATAAATAAATAATCATTTTAGTTTTCCAAAAAAAAACCATTAATTTACCCTGTAAGACCAGTTACTGTATCATCCATTGGCAGTACATGAATGCGTTTTCCATATTTAACTTCTGGACATGCTTGTACAGAAACAACATCACTTAAACGTACACGCAAGTTATTTCTTATAACACGGTTCATACGAATTTTTTCATCAGGGCATGTATCATCAGAAAGAACAATACACACAGTTTCTTTGCGTCTTTTTCCTTTCAATAATACTGTATCTCCTCGGAAAAGTTGTAATTCATCCATTTTTGCTTGAGAAAGAGCCACAACAGAATTGTCATCTGCAATAGCTTCATCCACTAATAATCTATTTGGCTTGTCCTTCTTTCGAAGGATTGCTGTTGCCAAATCTTCGCTGTTATAACATAATGCATTTAATTAATTTAAACAAATAAATATTAATAGCTAGATGAAATATAATAATGTTAATAAATAAAAAATAATTTGTATTATAAACATAATTTCAATATAAATTCAATAATCAGACTAATTTTCTTAAGTTTCTTGTGATATATTTTATATTATTATTTTATAATAAATTATAACATAAATTATTGTAATATATTTAACTATACGAATTGCTATTATGTGTAAAATATTAATTTTTATACTATATAAAATTAAATGATATTATTTCAATATATTTTTTTTCTCCTCAAAAATTCAAAAGAGTTTTTGTTATTGTTTTTATATACAATAAATACTTAAAATAATTTATTAAACTCATAAAAAATAAATTTTTGAATTTTTCCAATGTGAATCAAATCATATATAATGATCGTATAAGATATACTTAATTCAGATCAATATTTGTTATCAAATAATACAAGTTGATGTAATTTAATTTTTAAAACCAAACATACAATTTTTATATAAGGTTTGTTATCGTCAGTATTATACTGTAAAATTAAATACAAATAAAATTGGGTAGCTTTTATTTCCATTACGATTTTTTCATAAAATTGAGAAGTATTACAGTAAAAAATAAATATCAATATCAGTAAAATTCCTTTGTCATGTTCGATATAGTATTCGGCCATGAACAGTCGGCATACAAAAATAATAAGCGCGATTTGTGTCATTGCACGATTACAAATCATTATCGTAAAAAAAAAATAGCAATTTGTAAAGAATAATTGATTTTCACAAAACAAAATTTAATAAATGCCATTTATTTTCATAAAAATCTATAAAAAGACGCGCTGCGTCGACATGATGACAACGTAAAATTGGAAGCCAGCATGGATGCAATTTATTTGCATATTTCACTGTTTTCAACATTGAAATGTTGAAATTAAATTATTATAAATATTAAACGTTTTTTCTGTTAGATTTGCTTACCTTTTTGGTTCGCTCATTATGCTTCTGATTTCAACGCAAAAGAAAATGCACACGCAATGATCAGAACTCAGTATCGCACACGTACAAGTCGGCAACACCTATAGTCGATCCAATGAACATTCTCATTTGAACTTTCATGGCTTGTATTGGACTCCCCCATTGTAGTCAAAAACTAAAGGAGAATTTACAAACTTGTCAACTTTATGCTACGTATTATTATTATCGAAGCTTTTATTGGCTATGAATATCTTTCAATTATCAATAATTTTAATTTTCAATTTTCAATTTTAGTTGTTTAGTTCAGTATTTTTCATTCCTAGAAATTGTAGAAAAAATTTCAACGTTACACTATTTGCTTTAAAATATGTAAAATATAAACAAATTATTGAATGCTATTAGTTTTTATTAATTAAAAAAAGCTTCTTATAATATTTTATAAATATTTTTTGTTTTTTTGTTTTTTAATCTCAGTGCAATATTTTTGTATACTAAATAATATTAACTCAAAATATACTTTAAAGTATTAAATGGATTATAATCCGTAATAAATGTTTATATTTGTAAAAAATATTTATCCTTCCTCTTTTCTAAATATTCATTAGATAATCTATCAGTATTTAGTTTTGAAGTATGTTAAGTTTTAAATAGCTTACGTCACAACTCACGACATTCTCAAAGTGAGAATACGATAAATATACTTAGTTGTCAAATCGGTCTATGATGGCTGGAATTAAAGGTTATTCGGCATATATTTTAGATCACATGTCACATAACTACATAAACTTTTATTATAAAATCTAAAACCATAATATTGCCGATGAAAGTTCAATGAAAAAGCTGAATTAAAAAATGATACGTCCAAACATAACCTTACTTTTCTTATTATCATCGCTGTCAAATTTTTATATACAAATGATGCGTGTTTATTAACTTATTTTATAAACATATACATATACATTTCATTTATTTTTTATATGATATTAAATTTAATGCATCTATTTTTATTAGTTGCAAACATAAATATATATGCGTTCAAATTTATTAATTAATGTTTATAAAAATTAAATTTTTTTTGAGCATTTAAATACAAGTTTAAAAAGAAGTATTATTTTAAATTTAACATAAAAGGAAAAAATTAATAATATTTGCTATTGCAAATTAATTATTTTTAAATATACAAATTTTTTATATTTAAATTTTTCAAATGAAATTTTCATTCTTGTAACATTACATTTTGCATTTTGATCTTGATTATATGTATAAATTATTTTATAATGAAATTATTAATCATATTCCAAATCAAAAAATGTATAAAATATTGTATTGAGCATAATTATTATAATTATTTATAATATAAAAGTTATATTTAATAATTTAAATTTGGTTTTTGGTTTGTTTCATGCTATTAATGGTCTTCATTAATAAACAGCGTAAGTAATTTAAAATAAAATTTATACAAAATTTTTTCTTAAGGCAAGTTTTAGGCAAAAATCTTTTTATAGATTAGTACTTTTGGCATTTGGTGGGTCTATTGGTATGACATTTGTTATACTTGGTTGTGCTTTACCTGCATATAAGTAAGTATTATTATTGACATATAATTATTTACTTTTCATTCGATACTGTTATATTTTGATATTATTATTTACTTATCATTGTATTGTATAAATTGATAGCATATATACTATTATAAATTATAATGTGAATACATATACTAGTTTTACATATAATATGTTGTTGTTTTTAGAGTATGGTGGCCATTTTTTGTCGTACTATTTTATATATTAGCACCAGTTCCAACTATAATTGCACGTCGCTATGCAAATGATTTTGAAAATAATTCTAATCCATGTTTGGAGCTGGCAATATTCTTTACTACAGGCTTTGTTATATCATCATTTGCTCTTCCTATTGTCTTAGCTCGATCCCCAGTTAACGATCCAGTGGTATATTTATATACATAATTATGCATATTTTGTATTGTGTTGTATTATTATATTATATTATTATTATTATATTATAATAGATAAACAATTCACTAATACAAAAAATAATATATATTTCTATTATGCACTTTCAGATACAGTGGGGTGCTTGTTATTTGACTTTAGCAGGTAATATTATTATGTATCTAACTCTAGTCGGATTTTTCGTAACCTTCGATCAGGATGAACTCGAGTATAACACATGTTGAAATGCTGTACTTCATTGTACTTATTTATTAATTTTACATGGTAATATTATAGAGTTATATCGTACTACTTTCAGTGTGTTTCTTATTCTTTATAACATATAATCTGAACATTTTTAGGTTTTTTCAAAATAAAAGGAGGAATACAAATCATATACTGCACTGACTAACAGTTATGTGTTGATTCTAAGTCATTGCAAAATTTATAGTATATTACTTATACGATATACATATTATCATAAAGCATATTATCATTTAAGACACAGTGGATACTAATACTATAACTAATACTAAAGTCAATGATGATTTATTTTACTATTTTTATCCTGTAATCAAAAACTTCAGATTCTAAAATTTAAAATTTAAAATTTTTACAAACTTCTTTGGATAAAATTACAAACACAGAATTTAATATTTATATTTATTGAATTTAAGTTCTTGAAAGCAATATTAATAAATACAATTTTTTACATTACTTCATATTTTATATTATTTTTATAAATGAATAATTATGAATAAAAAATTGTAAGTTAATTTATTGCGCAATGTTCTACAAATGTTTTATATACAACTAGTATGATAGGTTTTATAAAGGAAATAAAAATTTTCATAACTAATATATAAAAAAATTATTGTATTAAAAGAAAATACTAATGAATATTACTGAATGATACACATTGTCTATGTGGTAAGGATCAGATAATCTATAATAAACTAATTTTTACTCTTATATATAATAATTATCAAATGTACATAATTAAATTTCTTTCCAGCTATTTTAAGTATTCTTTCCAAATAGTATGTACAGCATTTACAATATTTACATAAATGCTATTTTTAAAAATTATATTATAAATAAATATAATTTTTAACTTAAAATAAGTGCAGTGATTACTTAAAATTATACAAAATATTATTTTATTTATATTTTATACAACTTTATTTTATAAATATTTCTAAAAATTTATTAATATTTAATTGCCATAGTGATGTTATAATATTATTATTTATTAGATATTCTTTTCTAGTTTATAAACTAGATATTTATCTGTAGATATAATCTACTTGATATTATTTTTTTAAATATAATACAGAAATAAGTATAGAAGATTAAAAGAAAAGTAAGGATTAAAGTACATAATCAAAGTATCAAAGTATAAGAATGAAAGAATGAAATTCATATATTATAATATAATATTATTTCGCAAAAAGATCTCAAATTCCAAAAATGCATCATTATTAATCCATAAAATTAACATTAAAAAATTACAAATTAATTTATTGTTTATTTTTATTATTTTTATTACTTAGATATTTCTAATATTAATAATTAATAACATATGTTCAAAGAAATATAATTCTTAAGAATATAAATAGATACAATTCGTTTTTAATAGGGACACTTCATTTATATGTTTTTGTTGAGCAACGTGTTTATAAAAAATTTATGAACAAAATTGTATTGTATTTAATTTATATATATAAAATATATTTTTTGAAATAAGTTGTAATTAAAAAATGTGAAGTTATATTAAATTTTGAGAGCTATAAAAAAGTATTGCTGTTCATAATAAAAGTTTCATTTTACTAAAATTATTAATTCAATATATTTTTATTTTACACTGTTTTTTTAAACAATAAATTAAGAATATTTTATTGACAAATTTTTATATGAATATTTTATTGACAAATTTTATATGAATTAAGATATAAATATCATTAATTCAAAATTTACTATATAATTTTAAAAGTTTTCCATAGAAATAATTTAACTAAAATAATGATTATATGTATATAACGGTTTAATTGTAATAATGGTTATATTAAAATAATGGTAATATTGGAGTTAATTAAAATAATGCTCGTAAAGTATATTTTTTATAATATTTTTACAACTGCATTTGTTTGTATTCTTATGAAAATTGTCAGAAATAGTAGTTTATTGCTTTAAAAATAATATTTACAATTCATTATATATATATATATAAAACTTACCTAGAAGAAGAATAATTGATAAATAAGACAATGTAATATATTAATATATAATTTACAATGTACTATATTAATATATCAGATTGCAGATTTCTATACAAATTTCTATCGCTGAAAACATAATGTAAAAAGTGGAATAGAAAATTATTTTATTTTTTAAATATTTTAAATATTTTCAAGTTCATCTTTGTTGAAGTTATTTTATATATGATAAAATTATACTTTCTCATATATTGTCAATATTATTTTTCTAAAAACATTACCAAATTTTATTTATTTTATACTTGTTTATGCAATTCTTATTTGAATTAATTTATATAGCAATATTTTTAAAATAATTTTAATATTTACTATGAATGTATATGTGTATGTAACTTATTATTGTTACTATGGTGACCTTTTTAACACTCATCATCTTCAAGATAATAAACGCATCTGATTTACATTTGTTCAAATGAAGGTAATATACTCAAAAAACAACAATTATATTATATATTTCCTAGTAAAATTTATATGTAATATAATATATAGATAAATATTATAAATTTATCATAGTAGAATTATTTATAATTTTGTATTATTAATAATACAGTATGTTCTGTATGTAATTTTTATTTATTTTTGTCAATGTGAATAATTAACAACATATTTAGGTTAAATTTTTATATTTATTTTATGTTAATATTAGAGATAGTGTCTTTTAAAATTGAATTTTTAAAAAAGTTCACTCTTATAAAATGAAATTAATGAAATATTATTTATGTAATAATGAAATTATTGTGATTGTAAAAAATTAAAGAGAAAAGATTGTGAAATATTATTTATGTAATAATGAAATGTTGAGATTGTAAAGTTGTAAACAATATATATATTAGGTATGCATTTAGACAATTAGTAATTAGAAAGTGATAAGAAGGTAGGAGCAGTCTAATAATAATTTTTAAGAATCAGAGGGTTATGTTACATAAAATTATTTATGAGTAAAATTATGTTATATATTTATATAATTATAATAATATGTTTATATTAATAATATATTATAGGAAAAGTTTGAAATGTTAAAATACAATAATTACAATATAATCTGTTTATTTTTTAACAGAAATTTACTAATTCATCAAAAGAGTATATAAAAAAATACAAAAATGAACAAAATAAAGCTATGCCACAATTTGTAAACTCTTTATCAAGTAATATAATTAGTTTGAAAGACTTGGCAGATGGTACATGGTTATGGAGAAAAACCCAAAAGACTCAAATACATAAAAAATGTAGGAATAAAATGTTAAAGAGACAAAAGCAACAAAGTAAAATGATAGCAAAGAAAAAGGTAATATATGATTTTTATACCATTTAAATTGCAAAAGTTTGTCTTTATGTAAGAATATTTTAGACATGAAAGATATATATCATTTATAGAATGTAATAATACAAATATATATGTAAAATAAGTAATAATACTAGCAAAAACTCTGTATTTATCTATGAGTTATACAGAATAAATGAATTATATTTCATACTTAAAAAAAATCAATTTTATATTTTTTTAAAAGTTTAAAAATTTTAAAAATCTATGCTATATAATAAAAAATTTTAAAAGTCTATACTATATAATAAAAAACATTCTTTTTTTGAGTCATTTTTTGTAACATTTTTGAATATATAAATGTTTTTAAAAATGTAATTGATTTTTTTTAAGTATGTATAATATATAATTTAAATTTATGTGGTACATATGTACTTTTGACTCATTTTTATATTTTTAAAAAAAATTATGATTTAGAGAATGAAAACGTCCATTTTTGAAAATAAACTAATGTCAATATGTATTAGAATTTTAACAACATAGACGAGGTATACTATAGATTTGCCACCTTATGGAATATGTTTTGAAATACCGATCGTGTAAAAGATGGAGGGATAAAGAACGTCTGGAGATTTTGGAGATTTTGTTACGCACTCTAAGATTCAATTATTTAATCATTGATTCAATAAGTTACGAAAGTTGATAAAATCAATGAATTGTAATATCGAACATTTGTAATATAATTTTTAGAATTAAAATTATATATTTTAATAATTCCAAATAAGCTATAGGAAAATGTATATATAAATTTTATTTGCGATCGTTTGACAAAAAGATTCATTCGGTAATTTTTCAGGCGTTTTTTATACGTTGCAGAATCCTGTATAAAATATAGAAAAACATAATAAAAGTAAAAGGGTTACAGAACAAACATTAGTTAGTTATTGAACTTAAAATTTAAAATTAAAAATTTGACTATGAAAGCATTATGCAAATCTAAATCAGTGAATATTTCTTACAGGCAACGAAAAAAACATTTAATGCAATTTAACAAAGTGAAAATATAATATTATGGAATTATATTTACAGGTGTTTCAAATAATTGAAGCCGAAATTCCAAAATCAGTAGAAGAAAAAATAGATGATATATTGATTGAAACTAATAAGAAACAAATGGAACCTAAGCAAGAAGGTCGTAGTAAACCAATATATTTTAACAATTATTGTATCATTGACAATGATTTAGATTATTATGATAATATCCACCTTAAAGAAGCAAGAAAACGTATTATTGGTAGATTACAAAAATTAGAAGAGTTAGTTTAACAAATTTTTAATTACTATGTTTGTTTTTATACACATTGATGATTTTTTATAAAAAAATTTTATTTACAGTTTTAATGAACTAATAATGGAGTTAGAAATAGAAATTATTGACATTTATAAACAATTTCTTATAAGACCTTTGCCTGAAGAGTATCCATTAATAATACGCGCGCCTGTTCCATGGCATCAATATAAATTAACTGCAACTCATTTTATGCATTATAATCTATTTATTGGAAATGAAATATTGAGAAATATTCAAAATTTATATTTTAATAAGTAAGTGTTGTAAATATTATTAATAAGTAGTATATGTAATAACAATGTTATTAATAAGTAGTAATGTAATAACAATCATTATTAGTACATAATTGTTAAAATATGAAACATTTTGTAAAAAAAATACTGATATCTGAAAGTTTTGTAAATAATTACATGAGATTTCATACATAATTGTAAAAGTTAAAAACAATGATAATTTAATAGTAAAACCTCATTTATATCGGAATATTTTTTATCTGAACGTTTTATTATCGGAATGTTGTTCTATTACCTGAACGATACATTACTTTATATATGTAGCCTGTACGGTAAATATTTACTTCTATCAAAATAAAATTTCTTCACAATATTTCACAAGTGATACAGTATAATGTCATCAAGACGGAAACGAATAATGTTATCAGTTGAAATAAAATGTAAAATTTTTGAAAGATGTTGAAGAATGACGAGTATGCAACAAAATGTGTATTAGAAAAACTAGTGTTCTATTATCTAAAAATTTTATTATTCGAATACATTTGTCTATCATTTTCCGATAATAATAATCGAGGTTCTATTGTAATAGATGTTATTTATGGAATACTATTATACATTATTATACATAAGTATAATGTGTTCCTAATTCTGTTTTATATAACTAATTTTTATAATCTAGAAATTGATAGATAGTTATTGATAGATAGTCACAAATTTAATTCGTTGTGTTGAGATTTATTTCTGTAACTATCTATTATTTAAGGAGATAGTCTCTAATTGAAGTATAGAAAATTATATACGATAATTTTTCTAACAAATTTTACAAATCAATAATTTCTATTTAATTTGTATTTCTAGCGCATATAATGAAAAACAATAATAAAAGAAATTTATTTCTTGTCGACAAGATATTTGCGAACAAAATTCAGTTTGTTATCAAAAATTCACTAATTAGTAAAAATAAAATCAAATATGAAATTTGAAGAAAATCGATGTACTAATTAATAATTAATTCATGTACTAATTAATAATCAACTTATTAAAATTTTTTTCAAAGAACATGAAATTTGAGATATGTGTTAAGTAATAATTAATAATTGATAATTGATAAAATTTATTGATTAGCATTCATTGCAATCATGAAATTCGAAAACTATTGTGTTCATATTCATTGTAAATATGCAATTCAACAATCAATGTATATTGAAATTATTTTTTTTAGATATCATGATGTAATGATAATCAAACTTCAAGATCTGGGAACCATTCCTATTTCAGCAAATGAAATAGACCCGAAAATGAATTTATTATGTAATAAAGCTGTAGATAGACTTATTAAACATTGGCTGGCCGAGATTGCTGAATTTTTCTTAGAGAAGAAATATGCTTGGTCTTGTTTTATTGAAAAACATTATAATGCATCTACAGCGCTAATAGAGAAATATTTTAGAAGCGTAAATGCTCTTTTATCTAGACAATTACGAATGATGATAATGAAAACGCTGAATAATTTTAGAGATTTTTTTATGGAATATAGCAAAGGAAATTATTTTAAAGGTGATTACAAGGATCTTATGTTTTACAAGTAAGTGACTTGCAAGGGAAATTCGATAAAAATGGGTAAATTTCAAAAAATTTAAAACCTTGTACAAATATAGTTTAGATAATATTAATAACGGAACAATTTTTCTTTGCTATTAAAATAATTCTAGAGATGAAAATGCCTCTCCAAAGGAATCTTGATTTTTCATATTATTGTGAATGTATATAAAACTGTATAAAAGCAGATTGGACAAAGTTAGGAGATTTCCTGAGTCAGCATCTCAGCTTGTTCGTCAAAGCTATTTGATGTTCCTATTTTTTTATATGTAATTTTCAAATGATTCAACAGATGCATATCTATTGTAACACTATAAATGCATTTAACGTGCATGGCTCTGATATTTATAATAAAATTCTATCCTTTAAGATAGAGGACAAAAATTGTATTGTTATACAATTTATTAGTGTAAAGTATTCTTTCTTTAATTTTAAAATTTTTTCAATTTAGTATAACTTAGATCATAGATACAACTTTTAATTTAACTTTTTTTTTTATATATTATACAGTTTCATAAATATTTACAATAATGTGAAAAGTTAAAATTTTGGGGGGGGGGGGAGAGGAGGGAAAGATTTGATTGTTTTTCAGCAAGAAAAAAGAATTCCTCCGTAATTAATATCACATGAACTACATGTGTACGAAGTTCAAATTTTTTTGAATTTTCCAATCGCTAAACTTTCCTTGTTAGTAATTTAAATGTTTCTACGTATAATATTCATTAAAATTGCATTTCAGAACTCCCTTTATAACAGTAACAGTACAACCAATACTTGGTACAGATAAATTACATTGTAAACCGAATATTTTAGAAGTACGTACAATTATTTCACAATGTTTTGATAAAATTATTGGAATTGGAACAATGATTCCAAAAATTGAAACTATTTTATTTCCTGAATTGGAGAAGCAGGAGTTTTTATTCTCTATATCGCGATACGAAGAATCGGTAAACGAATTGTTATAAATTTTAATGTTTTTACCCGTTTATTACTGAGCATTTATATTTCATGCTTTAACTTTTTGTCTTAGAATATACATAATTCATGTGTATTATTTTAGTTAATTAATTAATTTAATTTAATTTATAATTATCTATAATTTTTCTATAAAGAAATAGCTGTATCTCATTGTATTGTTTAATCAAAATAATATGTATACATTTATCTTACATTATACCATATTATATTTAAAGCAAAAATGAAGAGGAAGTTGATATTTCAATGTCTGTTGACCTAAAATTTGAGAAAATTGAAAAATATTCAATAAAAACATTTATTTTTATTATTTGTTTTTTTATGATGGTTTATGATTTATTGTTTTATGATCTGTTTTATATTTTACTACTTTTATTCTTATTTATAAATAAATAAATATCACAGGTTTTAAGCATAGTTACTGATGTACTGGATGTTATCAGTGCTCATATAAAAGGTCCACAAATTTATTTAAAATGTTATCAAGATTTGTTGTATGTAGTCGATGGTCGAGCTAAACAAAATTTAGACCAATTTTTTATCATCGAACCCATGCCATATTTGCATGAATTTGAACAAAAAATAAAAGGCTACGATCAGCTCAGAAAAGAAATTTTAGTGTTTCGTAACAAGGTAAACGTATATAATATTTTGCAAGAATATGTTGAGCTTATGTATATTTCGTTCTAGATTCCTCTGAACTTAATAGAAATCGATTGTACTACTCTAAATAACACTTTAAGGCAGATTCTTTACGATCTTCGTACTGAAATTTGTGATTTTTTTGCAAACGAGTTACGAACTAACAATCGAGATTTGTGCTCCAATTTTGATACAATAGCAGAGAATATCTCGAAAATGCCTGAAAAAACGCAAGATGTCGTCGAACTGTACAATTATTTGTGCGAAAGTCGAGATATCACCATGTTCAACTTAAAAAGAAAATTATTACGTTCTATAGAATTGATTTTATTCCTTTTTAATTATCAATCACCCACGGACGACGACATTCACTTAAATACTCGCGTCATCACATGGCCGAAGGAAATGGAAACCGTGATGGATCTAGCGAACACACGATTAAACATGAGAAAAGAATATCTTGAAGAAGTATTACGTATAAGAATGGACAATTTTGAACAAAGGATACATAATATGCGACTAGCAATCGATCAATTTAAAAAAAAGGATCCACCAGTATTAACTATGGAGGAGATGGAAGATGCGGTATTGCAAGTTGAACAGCTTTTTAGAGGTATGGAAGAGATTAGGAAAGAAGTTGAGGAGATCAATGAGGAAGAAGGACTTCTAGACATGGAGTTAAGTCCCTATTTAGTAATTCCCATGATGTCTACGACAGTTAGTGCACTCGATACTCTTTGGCACACAGTATTAGATTTTCATAAGAATTATGACAAATGGCATAATGGTCCATTTATCTATCTCGATGCCGAGGAAATTAAGGATGAAACTGACAACATCTGGCGCACGTTATATAGATTAACACGCGTTCTTGTCGACATTCCAGGTGCACGGAAAATTACCGAAATGGTTCGCGCGAAGGTGGACAAATTCAAGCAATACATTCCCCTTTTACAAATTATTTGTACTCCTGGATTACAAGACCGACATTGGAAACAGATTAGCAAAGTAGTAAACGTGGATATAACAGTAACGCCTACGAGTTGTCTGGCTGATATGATAGAGTTAGGATTGTTACTTCATATAGCTAAACTCGAAGAGATATCGTCTGCTGCTGTGAAAGAGCACGCGCTTCAACAGAGCTTGCAGAGGATGAAGGAAGACTGGGCAGACATTAAATTTCAATTTGTACTATATCGCGAAACCGGTGTTCATATATTAACCGCTATAGACGATATTCATCAGTTGTTGGACGATCATATTTTGAAAGCACAGACAATGAGAAGTTCTCCATTTATAAAAGCTTTCGAAGAGGAAATGCAAGTTTGGGAGAATAAATTACTGCAAATGCAGGATATCATTGATCAATGGTTAATGTGTCAAGCAACCTGGATGTATTTGGAGCCGATATTTAGTAGCGAAGATATAATGCGTCAAATGCCGACCGAAGCGAAACATTTCAGGAGGATGGACAAGATTTGGCGTAAAATCATGGTGTACGCTGTCCAAAATAGTCAGGTACTCGATGCTACCGGTATGCCAAATATATTGCAGGAGTTAACGCTATGCAACACGTTGCTGGAAGAAATACAGAAAGGATTAAACGAATACTTGGAGAAGAAACGTTTATTCTTTCCAAGGTTTTTCTTCTTGTCGAATGACGAACTGTTAGAAATACTCTCGGAAACTAAGGATCCGCAGAGAGTACAGCCACACTTGAGGAAATGCTTTGAAGGTATCAGCAAATTGCGATTCACCAAAGAAGAGGAAATTATTGGAATGTTATCGGACGAAGAAGAATACGTTCCGCTAAGTGGAAAGATTTATCCAGCAGATGCAAAAGGCATGGTTGAGAAATGGTTGTCTCAAGTTGAGGAACTTATGAGAGCTTCCCTTCGAGACATAGCCGAAGAAAGTATCATCGCGTATTTCATCACCGTTAGAGAAGAATGGATATTCTCCTGGCCTGGTCAGATCGTTATTTGCTGCAGTCAGATACATTGGACTAGCGAAGTTTGCGAGTCGTTCGAAGATTATTCTACTGCTGCTTATTTACAGACATGCAACAGTCAAATAGAAAACACGGTTACATTAGTAAGAGGGAGGTTGAACCCGGGTGCGAGGATAACAATAAATGCTTTGATCGTGATAGACGTCCATGCACGAGATGTAGTACGTTTGCTCGTTGATAAACAAGTGAGTAACATCATGGACTTTGATTGGATATCACAACTGAGGTATTATTGGTTGGACGATAGTATTATCGTCTCGATAGTGACGACCACTGTAGCGTATGCCTTTGAGTACCTTGGGAACACATCAAGACTTGTCATAACACCATTAACTGATCGATGCTACAGAACTTTAATGAGCGCGTTGAAGTTAAATCTTGGTGGTGCACCTGAAGGTCCGGCAGGTACTGGTAAAACAGAAACAGGGAAAGATCTTGCAAAAGCTGTGGCTAAACAGTGCGTGGTTTTCAATTGTTCGGAGGGGCTTGATTATCAAGCGATGGGCAAATTTTTCAAAGGGCTTGCGCAATCTGGAGCGTGGGCCTGTTTCGATGAATTTAACAGAATAGATCTGGAAGTTCTTTCCGTGATTGCACAGCAGATCTTGACCATTCAAATGGCTGTAAGTTTACAATTGGAAAAATTCATGTTTGAAAGTACGGAGATAAAATTAGATCCTACTTGCTACGTTATTATAACGATGAATCCTGGTTATGCTGGACGTCAAGAACTTCCTGACAATTTAAAGGTTCTGTTTCGTACTGTGGCAATGATGGTGCCGGATTATGCCATGATAGGAGAAATTACATTGTACTCCTTCGGTTTCATAGACGCCAAGAACCTTGCCGAGAAAATAGTTCACACTTACAAATTATGTTCTGAACAATTAAGTTCGCAAAATCATTATGATTACGGAATGCGAGCTGTGAAAACTGTACTCATCGCTGCTGGAAATTTAAAATTGAAATATCCTAAGCAAAATGAATCGGTTTTGATTCTCCAAGCGATCATCGATGTCAATCTTCCGAAATTTTTGGCTCACGACATTCCTCTGTTTAATGGAATATACACAGACCTCTTCCCTGATACCAGTTTACCAGAACCACATCGAGACGAGTTAATCGAATTGGCCAAGGTTGTTTTGAAGAAGCGAAATCTTCAAGCTACGCCTTGGTACATGGAAAAGATAATCCAAATTTACGAGATGCTGTTGGTGCGCCACGGTTTGATGATCGTGGGCAATACTCTAAGCGGGAAGACGCAAGCATATCAAGTTTTAGCCGAAGCTTTAGGCGAGCTAAGTAGCAGAAGGCGCGCTATTATGAAAGAATTTTCAACGATTTACAAGATCATTAATCCAAAAGCTATTACTTTGGATCAGCTGTATGGCAGTTTTGATCCAATATCGCACGAATGGAGTGATGGCGTTTTAGCCAACATTTTCAGAGAATTCGCACAGTCTATTTCGCCAGATCGAAAGTGGATAGTTTTCGATGGTCCTATCGATGCCCTATGGATCGAAAGTATGAATACGGTGCTTGATGACAATAGGAAGCTTTGCCTGATGTCCGGAGAAATTATACAAATGTCGCATAAAATGAATATGATGTTTGAACCAGCTGATTTGGAGCATGCCTCGCCAGCTACAGTTAGCAGATGCGGCATGATTTATATGGAGCCATCTCAACTTGGATGGAATGCATTATTCGACTCATATAAAATGTATCTTAGAAATAAGCTCCTTGTCGAACAGTATGAATTGACTGTTGAATTGATCGAGTGGTTGACGGAGCCAGTTCTGGTTTTTGTTCAGCATCGTTGTAAAACATTTGTAGAAATGTCAGAGCTTCATATGTTTTTAGTAAGTAGAAAATACATTTGAATTTAACTGATATATCTTTTAAAACGTTCTTACTCATGACGAATAAATTTAGTATTATTTTATTGATGATATTCAAATGCTAAAATTAGTCCAATGAAAATTACATATTGTACTTTATGGATTTTATTTGAAATTAAAATTAGGATTTACTGCTATTTATTTTAGTCATTTACAAAACTTTTCACCGCAATGTTGAACGGAGAAACACAAGTTAGCACAATTTGGCTTCAATGCGTTTTATTATTTAGCATTGTTTGGGGAATGTGTTCAACGTTAACAAGCGATAGCAGAAAGATTTTCGATGTTTATTTAAGAAAATTATTACTTGGAACTGATGATGAATATCCTAAACCAAAAGCTTTTAAATTGACGAAACAACAGCTTTTTCCTGACAAGGGAACTGTTTATGATTGGATATATGATAAAAGAAATAATGGATGCTGGATACCGTGGATGGACACAGCATTACAGGTATTAAATATTTTAAAAATATTGACTCATAATCAGTTCTCCTTTTTTTTTTAAATTTTTGTAAAATTTTTTTAAGTAGTCTTTTTGTATTAAAATGCGTTTCGTAAAAAAAGATTGAGGAAATATTATTTCCAAAGAAAGTAAATTGTAAAAGTAAAGTAATTGATCTCTTTAATATTAATAGGAATATTAATCTTAATAATTTCACACTTTAAGAATTGTTTTATATAAATATTTATTTCTTTTTAATAATATAATTTTAAATCATGATTTAATCTTTTAGATTTGTGTGATATTCTATTGCCTCATAATAATTTATAATTCATTTTTTGAATATAAAAGAATATACAATTAATATATAAAATAAAAATATTATAATTAATTAAACTAGTTAATTAGTTATATTATAATATTATATTTCATTTTATTAAATATATTAGTTCTTTTAAATATATTAATTATATTAATTGCATTTATTATATTAATTGCAATATATTAATTATTTTATTTAAAGATATTATAATATTATTTATTTTATTAAATATATTGCAATATTTTCTACAGTACAAAAAGATATTTATTGTTTTTAAATACAAAATTATTTCTCTTCTATTGGAAATACAAATGAAATTGATACTCTAGATAAATAATGACATTTTATAAATATGTATCTTTTTTTTATATTTTAGGCGTCTTTATTACCAGATGCAAAATCAAGTGAATCAATTGTGCCAACAACTGAAGTAGTAATCCAATATTTCTTTATCAGAAATCTTCTTCATAGAGAAATACCTATTTTATTTGTTGGACCAACTGGTACTGGGAAATCTGTTATTGTATTAAATTATTTGCAATTTCTACCCAGAGACAAATATATAGAGAATATCATCAACTTTAGCGCTCGTACCACTGCTGCTCAAACTCAAGAGATAATAATGACCAAGCTAGATCGTAGAAGAAAAGGTGTTTACGGTCCACAAATGGGGAAAAAGTGCGTAATATTTGTTGATGATTTAAGCATGCCGCAGAAAGAACAATACGGTGCTCAGCCACCAATTGAACTTATTCGTCAGTGGGTGGATCATGGACACTGGTTTGATATAAAAGACACGACAATGTTATACTTGGTGGATATGTTTCTGATTTGTGCTATGTTACCACCCGGAGGTGGTTCAAACGTGGTCACACCTAGATTAACTCGACATATGCACATAATTGGTATCGACTTTTTCGAAGAGGTGACGATGACCAAAATTTTTTCTTCGATTCTTGATACACACTTTGCAAAAGGATTTTTACCAGAAGTCTCAAGATTGGGAAGAATGATCGTAACCGCGACGATGGATATATTTCTCAACGCGATCAAAACCTTTCTACCGATTCCAGCGAAGAGTCATTACACCTTTAATTTGCGCGATTTCAGCCGAGTTATTAAGGGTATACTTTTGGTACCAGCTTCCAGGATGAAGGATCCGGACAAGCTGATTAGACTTTGGGTTCACGAGGTATACAGAGTGTTTCATGATAGACTGATAGATGACAATGACCGAGAAATGTTGTTTGAAATGGTTCAGTATACTTGTTACGATCAATTGCGACAACCATTGAAGAAAGTACTTGGTAGACTGTTGCAAGAAGGAGAGACAATAACAAGTTCCCACATGTGTGACCTTTTTTTTGGTAATTATATAGAACCTGATGCCGAGCCAAAAGTATACGACGAAGTGGAAGATCTAGAAGATTTGCAACACAAGATGGATTATTACTTAACGGAGTACAATATGCTTTCCAAGACACCAATGTCCTTGGTACTATTCAGATACGCTATTGAACACATTTCTCGCATTTCTCGCATACTGCAGCAAGAAAGCGGACATGCCCTTTTAATAGGAATGGGTGGATCGGGTAAAAGTTCGTGTGCTAAGCTGGCGACCAACATGTGCGAATATCTGATATATCAAGTTGAAATTACTACAACTTACGAATTTTCGGAATGGCGGGAAGATTTGAGGAAATTGTTGCTGCGCGTTGGATGCGATGGAAAACCCACTGTATTTCTTTTTGGCGATCATCAAATAAAGGACGAATCCTTCATCGAGGATATAAATATGGTCTTAAACACGGCTGATGTGCCAAATTTATACGACACGGAAGAGAAAGCTGAGATTTTGGATAAAATGACGAACGTAATGCACAGTATCGGTGGGAGAAAAGTTGAAATTACTCCTATGATTCTTTACAATCTATTTCTCGAGAGGATAATAAAAAATCTTCACTGGATTTTAACGATGTCACCTATAGGAGACAAATTTAGAAACCGTCTGCGGATGTTCCCCTCGTTGATAAACTGTTGTACTATCGACTGGTATACCATTTGGCCTGAAGACGCGCTGGAGAAGGTAGCGCGGGTATCGTTGAAAAATGTTAACATCAGTGAGGATTTACGAGAAAAATGTGTCTACATATCCAAAAAATTCCACACGAGTATCGCATTAGCTAGCGAAGATTATTATAACACGCAAGGAAGAAGATACTACATAACACCGACAAGTTTCCTAGAGCTCATCAAATCGTTTTGTAGGCTGTACGACAAGAAAATCGACGAAATCACCGCGCAGCAAATGCGATACGAAAGGGGATTGGAAAGATTAGATTTTGCAGCGGATCAAATAGCAGTTATGAAGGAAGAACTTCAAGCCTTGCAACCAAAATTGCTGGCACAGTCTGAGTTAAGTAACAAGCTTATGATCAGGATCGAACAAGATACGATCAACATCGAGGCCAGAAAAGAGATCGTAGCTGCTGAGGAAGCTTTAGCAAACGAAGCTGCTGCCGCTGCACAGGCGATAAAAGACGATTGTGAAAGCGATTTGGCTGAGGCAACACCTGCGTTAGAGGCTGCTTTAGCTGCGCTAGATACCCTGAAACCCGCGGACATCAGTATCGTGCGATCAATGAAAAGTCCACCAGCAGGCGTAAGATTGGTGATGGAAGCTATTTGCATCTTGAAAGGTGTCAAACCTGAGAAAGTTCAGGATCCGACAACCGGCCGAGTTGTGGAAGATTACTGGCCAGCATCTATAAGGCTACTGGGAGACATGAGGTTTCTCGAAAGTTTGAAAAACTTCGACAAAGACAACATACCACCGGCGTATATGAAGATAATTCGCGAGAGATTTATAAACGACAGAAGCTTTCAACCGGAGGCTATTAAGAAGGTCTCCACTGCCTGCGAGGGCCTTTGTAAGTGGGTACGAGCGATCGAAGTTTATGACCGGGTGATTAAAGTCGTTGCCCCGAAGCAGGCGATGCTGGCAGAAGCTGAAGCAGCTCTTGCTAAACAGATGGAGGCTTTGAACGCCAAAAGAGCCCTTCTTCAGGAAGTTACACAGAAATTGCAATCGCTCAATGACGAATTTGCCGAGTGCATGAGAGAGAAAAAGAAGTTGGAAGATCAAATCGACTATTGTAAGAAAAAATTGGACAGGGCTGAGAAACTGCTAGGCGGTTTAAGTGGAGAGAAAAACAGGTGGCAGGAAACAGCCACGATACTAGGCTCAAGTCTTAATAATGTTATTGGAGATGTTTTATTGTCTTCGGGAGTAGTCGCTTACTTCGGAGCCTTCACGATAGAGTACAGAAATAAATTAATCACAGAATGGCACGATTCTTGCGTAAAGGCGGCAATTCCGTGCGGGGAAAAATTCAATTTGATCGACATTTTAGGTAAACAGGTGGAAATTCGAGCATGGATAATCTTTGGCTTACCAGCAGATCATTTCTCCGTGGAGAATGGAATAATTGTAAAGAACGCTGATCGATGGCCACTTATGATCGACCCACAAAATCAAGCGAACAAGTGGATAAAAAATATGGAGAAAGAAAATAATTTGACGGTTATCAAACTTTCTGATCCGAATTATGTGAAAATAGTAGACACCTGCATACAACTTGGCACGCCTGTTCTGTTAGAAAATATTTTAGAAGAAATAGACGCGATATTAGAACCTGTGCTTCTTAAGAACATCTACAAAGAACGTGGTGTTTTTTACATGAAATTCGGCGAACATGTGATTGAATATGATCCTAATTTTCGATTTTATATAACAACGCGTTTAAGAAATCCACATTATTTACCAGAAGTGGTTGTGAAAGTAACGCTATTAAATTTCATGATTACACCCCAAGGACTTCAGGATCAGTTGTTGGGTATAGTTGTCGCTAAGGAATTGCCTGTGCTCGAGGAACGTAAGAACCAGCTAATCGTAGAAGCTGCGAATAACAAGAGAATATTGGAGGAAATAGAAGATAAAATTTTAGAGGTTTTGTCCGCATCAGAAGGTAATATTTTGGAGGATGAAACGGCGATTACAATATTATCAACATCGAAAATACTAGCAGAGGACATTGAAGCTAAACAAGAGATAGCTGCTAAAACGGCGATGGAAATTGATTACGCTCGTAACGAATACAAACCTGTCTCGGAACATGGTTCTGTGCTGTTCTTCTGCATTTCCGAACTGGCAAACATCGATCCTATGTATCAGTATTCTCTACCATGGTTCATTCATCTCTATGAAATGTCAATAGCGAACAGTGAACAGGATGAGAATCTAAACGTCCGAATAAACAATTTAAACGCGTATTTTACAGCCAGTATTTATAGAAACGTGTGTCGTTCTTTGTTTGAAAAAGATAAACTGATATTCTGTTTTGTTCTGTGCGTTGGTCTCTTACGTGCTGATAAAAAAATAAACGAAGAGTTTTGGACGTTTTTATTGGCAGGTGACGTAGGCCTAGATAATCCTTACCCTAATCCCGGCATCCCTTGGTTAACTGATAAATCTTGGAATGAAATAGTTCGAGCTACAAGTTTGCCGGGTCTTGAAAGATTAAGACAATCGTTTGAAACGCAAACATCACATTGGAAGGCTTATTATGACTCGTCTAATCCTGAGAAGGAATCTTTCCCACGTCCATTTGAAAACGAGGCTGAAAGCTTGAAAAAGCTGGTCATACTTAAATGCATAAGACCCGATAAAATTGTGACCGCTGTGCGAATGTTCGTTATATATAACATGGGCCAATCTTTCGTAGAACCACCACCGTTTGATCTTCAAGCGTGTTATAACGATTCTACTAACGTGACTCCTCTTATTTTTATTCTTTCTCCCGGATCCGATCCAATGGCGGGATTGATCAGATTCTCGGAAGATTATGGAATATCAAAAGAGAATCTGATGACTATATCATTGGGACAAGGTCAAGGCCCAATCGCGGTGAACATGATAGATAGAGGAACAAAGAGCGGGGAATGGGTAGTGCTTCAAAATTGTCATTTGGCAGTGTCCTGGATGAAAGAATTAGACAGAATCTGCGACGAAATAATTATACCAGAGAACACGCATCCGAAGTTTCGTTTGTGGTTAACTAGCTATCCATCGAAGGATTTCCCAATTTCTATACTGCAAAATGGTGTTAAAATGACTAATGAGCCGCCAAAAGGGCTGAAGAATAATCTACTGAGAAGTTATATGAACGATCCAATATCGGATCCGAAGTTCTTTGCCAGTTGTACCAAAATACATGAATGGAGAGGACTCCTTTTTGCTCTGTGTTTCTTTCATGCAGTTGTTCAAGAACGACGTAACTTTGGGCCATTAGGTTGGAATATTCCATACGAATTCAACGAATCAGATCTTCGCATTAGTATTTTACAGCTACAGGTAAGATTATATTCTTTCACGCAATTATCTCAAAAACTTCTGTTCAAAAGAGGATATCTTATGACGAAACTAAATTTGTATAGGTGGGGACGTTTCTAAAATCTCGAGATCACCACGAGGTCATCTATTTTTTTTTTTTTTTTTTTT